ATGTAACTGTGTGTAAACATGTTTTAGAGGGTCTAGTTGTAATTTCATCCCTTACTTTACTTTATAAAAAATTAAAATTAGGTCCCTAAACTTCATAGTTTTGTACAATCTGGTCATCCGTGAGAGCATGAAACTGGACAATCCACCTGGCTCATCTCTGTGTCTCCCACTGTCAGGCTGAGCAGTCGATGTTGTTGAATGATTGCTTTACCAAATTAGTATTTAGTTGGAGAAACAACAAAAATAACAATATCAATATTTAACAAATATGCATAATTTAATGGTAATTGACAATAAGGTACTCGCGGGTGCACTGGTCATGCCATATGCCCACAACATTCATCGTCCAATTTGTCCATGCTCTCATTTTGTGACAATCTGTTCGGACATTTTCTTTTATTTTTATTCTACTTTTAAGTTATGGTAGATGAACCTATACCTCGTCAATTTTATATTACTATTAATAATTTTTTTACCAAACAGATTTTTGAAAAATATTTATTTTTTTACTATTTTTACTGATAAATCAAGGGAGGAGACAGAAATTAGAATGGGTGGATGCAATTTTAGAAGAGAAATCAGGTTTGAGTTATAAGGAAGGATCTTTGCCATGCAGTAAGTTGATTCTCAGATCGGTTAACGGATATCTTATTTTATCTTATTGATACAATTTATACAATTTTGTAGTGATTTGATATTATTATTTTTGATTTTATTTTGTTTCTTAATTCTTATATATTCCCTTTTATCTTCCTCAAGACTCTTGTTTAAATATCTAACGCATTATCAATAAAATGTATGGCAGTTTCGTTTACATTCAACCATTATATGGTATGAGAGCCATAGCAAAATAGTAGATGTGCACCTTTTTTTTCCTGATCTAGTGGCTTTAGCTCTTCATGACAGCATGGTGTTGGATTCACATCAAAATAGAGAATTTTAAGGTAACGAAAATTTAAATTTTCTATTCTTGAAATGCGTAATTTTGGTGATAGTTTTTCTCGTGTGGCCAAACACACCACCATGTGTATAATTTTATCTATTACTATCTCATATGATTGATGTCTTTGTCAAGTTGATATAAAAAATGCCTTCTTGCATGGCACTCTTATAAACAAGGTTTACATGTCTTAACCTCTAGGATTTATTGACTATGATAATCCCACAACTGTTCATCAACTTCATAAGGTCATTTATAGGCTCAAACAAGCTCTAATGGTGTGATACTCTGAGTTAAAATCATATCTTGAGCCTATGAGTTACACTATGGCTCAATCTGATCATTGACCTTTTATCTTTGAGAATTGTGGGATTATTATTTACTTAACTATTTATGTTGATGATGTTATATCCACAGGGAATAATTCCACTGCCATTACCAAGTTCAAATCTTGGTGTTGAAGTTCGTTAGACTCCAAGGAGATTATATTTATCTCAACATAAGTATATCCTCTATACACTTGAACGTGCTAAGATGTTAGACGCCAATGCTATTTCTACTTCTTTGTCCCTTTCTCATAATCTTAAGCACGGTGATAGCCCCTTATCTATCCAATCTAAAGAAGTACATGACCCTTGTTGGTTGTCTTCAATATCAGCAATTTTCTGACCTAACATTATCTTTGTTGTCAACATGTTAGCCCAATTTTCAATCAACCAGCTAAATGTCATTGGGTGTCTCCCAAACGTGTTCTATATTATCTCAAATGGATGTCTCAATTTGGTATTTTTCTCTACAAAAATTCTCTTCTATATGTCCATGCTTACTTATATACTGATTGTAGTGGCAATAAAGATAATTGGAGTTCTATTAGTGCTTTTCTTGTTTTTCTTGGACGCAATTCTATCTCTTGGTGTTTTAAGAAACAATGGGCTGTTACACGTTCTTTTACGAGGATTGAATATCGATTAGTTGCTAATTAATACAATGGCTAAGTTTTACTAGGTTCCCAATCTTTTGAAAGAGCTTTTTATTTCTTTGCCCTAGTTGCCAGTTATTTATTATGATAATTTTGGAATCACATATCTTTGTGTCAATCCTGTTTTCCATTCTAGGATGAAGCATATCAAGATTGATTATTTCTTTGTCCAGTCAAAGATACGGCAAAATATTCTCCGACTATATCATGTATCTTTCCATGACCAACTTGTAGATTTACTTATGAAAGCACTCTCTTAGTATGATTTTAAGCGCATTAGATCCAAGATTGGTGTTTCATTTCAGCCTAACATCCTGCGGGGCATAATAAGGGAGGATCTTTGCCTTCCAGCAAGACTAATTATCAAATCAGTCAATAAAGATCCTACTTTATCTAATTAATAGAATCTTTATGATTTTGTAGTAATTTGATATTATTGTCTCTGATTTTATTTTGTGTTCTATTTCTTGTATATTCCCTTCTATCTTGACCAACACTCTTGTATAACTATCCAATTCATTTATCAATAAAATGTGTGGCATTCTCATTTAGATTCAACTTTTATACTAAGTACTCAATTTTTGTTCTAAAATTGGGACCTAAAGACCTGATTTTAGAACACATCATGAAACCAGCTCCCATCGGACAACTCCCATCAAACAGTATTGTTTGAAGGAGCTCTAGACCCATTTTTTTATTTGAAATCAAGGCCTCTAGACCCAATTTCAAAACACATCAGAAACCAGCTCTTGTTGGACAGCTTTTGTTGGAGATGGGGGTCGGTTTCCTAGTGTTTTGAAATCATGTCCTAAGAACCCGATTTCAAAACAAAAATCAGATCCCCATAATTAGGGGTGTTTATGGTATTTAAAATTATACCGAACCAAACTATACCGAACCGTATCATACTGAAAGTTAGACTTTTTTAAATAAATTATAAATTTTGGTATTAGGTAATACCGTATTAAATATTTTGATAGAATTTTGGTTTTATAAATTCAAAACCAAAAAAAACCATACCAAATATTATATATAATAATTTAATAAATTATTTATATCATATACAAACTAATTACATTTATAAGCATTAACTATAATTCAATAGTAAGTTAAAGAAATTAAAACATTAAGAACTTATACGAAAAAAGAAGTGTAAATATTAGAGATTAAAGTGCAAAAAGATTCCAATATATATTTCATACTTTTCCAACTAACTTTTTAACTTTTATACATCTATTAAAGAATGGGGCCATTTCTTTTTTTGTTTTTCTTTTTTTTATCAAATTTATATTATAATTTAATGAATTACTTACTAATTTATTACCTAATTTAAATTTATAAATTACTTAGCACATGGGAAATCTTAACTAAAAAAAAAACTTCTTAAATACACTTTTTTATTATAAATAAGTAAAAAATTTCACTCAGCATATCTAAAAAGTAGTTTTAGAAAAAAATTAAATGAAAAAATTATATGTAAAGAAATTTGAATTAAGTGTTAGACTTTTTTATCAAAAAACTAAAGTTAAAAAAATTACTGTCACCAAATAAATACAAATACTTAAGAATTGAATTTCAATTTTTAAAATAAAAATTATTAAATCTTATATTTCAACTATCAATAGAAAAATAAGTATAAAGTAATGAATACATATTTAAATAAAAATAAAATTAAAATGTGAATTATATTATATCAATATTATTATATATAATAATTTATTAAATTTTTATATTATATAAAATTATTAAACTTCTAAATAATTTGATTATAAACCATTAATTAAAGTATTTGTATTATACATAGGTTAATTAAACCCTCAATGATGGTAGGTTTTTAATTAAATTGATTAAAAATTTCATGTTGAATTTAATTAAACAAATTAACTTTTTCATTAGTTTTTCATATGATTTTTAATTTGTTTCTAATGCATTGTCAGATTAAGAATATAAAGTTATAGATGATTATTCATAAAAGTTTTAAAATTAAATCTTTAAATATAGAAAATTATTAACATTATATAATTTTAAAAGAATTTAATTTTTTCGTGTTGATTATATACTAAAAGAACCTTTTTTGAATGGTTTTGTAAAAATTTCATTAAGTACTTAAATACTTTAATATCAAAAAATGTAAAAATTACACTGAATCATACCGAAACTGAATAAAATTGAAGCAATGGTCTGGTATCTAAAAGTATGATTTTGATTTTTATAATAAAAAAATTAAAATAATTGATACGTTTAGATTTATGAAAAAATCGAAAAAAATCAAACCGTGATCACTCCTACCCACAGCCCTATTTCCAATAAAAATTCAAGTTAGAAGGACCCGATTTCTCTTCTAAAGTCTCATCCTTTGGGTTTGATTTTTTTAAAAAAATCAAAATTTCAAAACTCAATTTCTTAGTGAGAACAATAAAAAAATTTGTTTGGGGAACTAATTTTCAAAAATCTACCTATTTTTTTTATACAAGGGAATTATTAATATTAATACTAATATAAATTTGCCCTTGTACCTCTACGCCAACCATGCTAGTCATACCTTACACTTGTATCATTCTTTATTCTAAGTCTCCTTGAATAAACACGTTCTTTACCTCTACGCCAACCACGCTAGTCATACCTTATATTTGTATCATTCTTTATTCTAAGTCTTCTTTAATAAACACATTCTTTAATGCTTGATTAAGAAAGGGTTATCTTTTCAATCCCAAGACTAGATCAAGCCCATGGACTGGAAGACTGAGAGGAAGAATCTCGACACAATATCGAGATATCTTAATGCATAGTCATCGCATCTTGCTAATTTATGAAACTCGTCATCCTTGAAGTTTCTTCTTTTCCTTAAGAACTAAGAACCACTAATACACGCAGAAAACAAATTCAAAATTTTTTTCTTTTTTGGCTAGATAAAACAAATTCAATTTGGGCCAACGCAATTATGCAGCATGTTTTTTCGCGTTGCTGCCATGCCGCTTTGCTTACCAGTCGTCACCCTTTGTCCCTGTTATCCCGTTTCCCTATAGATTAATAAGCGTTCCATTTACCTTTCAAAAAAGATAGAGTTAACAGAAAACAGAGATGGGGACCTGGTTCATCATCATCGTTTCTTTATGCGTCGCCGTTCTCTTCAAATCCCTCCTCAACCTCATCCACCCCTTCTCTTTCTCTACCAAAAAGCTCCCGCCTGGGCCCTCCATCGTCCCCGTTATTGGCAACTTCATCTGGCTCCGCAAATCATTCCACGAAATCGAACTCCACCTCCGGAAATTCCGGTCAAAGTACGGTCCAATCATCACCGTCCAAATCGGGTCTCGACCTGCAATCTTCATCGCCAGCCACTCCCTCGCGCACCGGGCACTCGTCCAAAACGGAGCCGTCTTCTCCGACCGTCCCAAGTCCATCATTGACTCCATTTTCAATAGCAACCAGCACAACATCACCTCCTCTGCCTATGGCCCCACGTGGCGTCTTCTCCGTCGCAACCTTACCTCCGAGATCCTTCACCCCTCCCGTGTTAGATCCTACTCCCAAGCCCGCAGGTGGGTCCTCGGCGTCCTCGTGGGCCGCCTTCTGCAGGGCCACGCGTCTTCTTTCAGAGTACTAGACCATTTCCGACACGCCATGTTCTGCCTTCTGGCAATCATGTGTTTCGGTGACGGACTTGATGATGAGCAAATAAACCAGATCGAGACGGTTCATCTCCAGTACATTTTAAGTCTCCCCCGATTTAGAATACTCAACTTTTGGCCCCGAATTGGGAAGATTGTGTTCCGCAGACGGTGGCAGGAGATGATACAGGTAAGGAGAAATCAGGAAGACGTGTTGATTCCCCTAATCAGAGCTCGAATGGAGATTGTAAAAACGGCGACGTCAACAAGTAAAGACAGAACAAGGGAAAGAGGAGGAAGAAGAAAGCGTGGTGGCGTATGTGGACACGCTGGTGGATCTCGAGTTGCCGGAGGAGAAGAGGAAACTAGAAGACGGCGAGATGGTGAGCCTGTGCAGAGAGTTTATAAACGCCGGCACCGATACGACGTCGACGGCGTTGCAGTGGATCATGGCGAATCTGGTAAAGTATCCTTGCATTCAGGCCAAGCTGTACGAAGAGATCACTGGAGTTGTAGGACCGCCACCGCATATACGACCTGGCAGAGACCTAGCAGAGACTGAAATAATAAAGGAGGAGGATTTGCAGAGGATGACGTATTTAAAGGCGGTGGTGTTAGAGGGTCTCCGGCGACATCCGCCGGCGCACTTTTTGCTTCCTCATGCGGTGACGGAGGATGTGGAGTTTGAAGGGTACCATGTGCCGAAGGAGGCAACGGTGAACTTCATGGTGGCAGATATGGGGTGGGACCCCAAGGTGTGGGAGGAGCCTATGGATTTCAAGCCCGAGAGGTTCCTGACTAACACTGGCGCCGGCGCAGGCGGAGGAGGTAACTCAGAGCAGAAACACTGTGATGGTGGAGGAGGGGAATCAACTTCTTCTCTGTTTGATATAACCGGAAGCAGAGAGATCAAAATGATGCCGTTTGGGGCAGGGAGGAGGAGTTGTCCCGGAGCTGGATTAGCTCTGTTGCACTTGGAGTTCTTTGTGGCTAATCTGGTGTGGCATTTCGAGTGGACGGCTGAGGATGGAGACGAGGTAGATCTAACGGACAAACATGAGTTCACCATTGTGATGAAGTATCCACTGCGGCCCACGTTTCCCCAGGGTGCCTCCTCCACTGAATCGGTAAACAACCTCTTAAGAAAAACTCTGAAGAAATGATATGAAATTGCTACGTATATCAATAAAATACTTTTTTAAAAAACATTGTTTTTATTTTCCATTCTGTTTCAAGTTGCGAGAGTTAAAAATTAGTAATTTTTATTTTTTAACTTAAAAATGTAACTAGTAATTTTTATTTTTTAACTAAAAAAAGTAATTTTGTCTCTTTAGTCCTCAGCCAAGTGTTAGTGCATATGTTAGTACGAAAGCTGTGGAAAAATAAATAAAAAAAAAAATAATAGCCGGAGGTTGTTTTTTTTAAGGTATGTGGGCGAGGGTTGGCAGAAGCACATTTTTCATTATTTAATAGATTTTCATTTAAGTACAATGTATTATTGGTTGAAAGGATATTTTATATTATATTATTACACTCTTTCTTGCATTTCATGATCTGCAATTTTATTGATTAAATAAAATAGTTAAAATTAATTAATATGTGTAGTATAAGTAATAAAATATTTTTATATCATGAAAAAAATAAATTAAAATTCATGAATGCAAGCATTTAAAAATGAGTAATTATAACACTCTGAATAGAATTAATAATTATAAGGATCCAAAGAATATTGTTATATTTTAACAAATTTACTTCAAGCAAGACATTTACCAACTTACCCATGGTAACACTTGGTCATTACCCTTTTAACCAAACAAAAAAGAAAACTTGTGTCTCAAGTAAATTGAAACTACGTAAACTAAAGAACGGTAAATGAAATATTAGCTTTATATCTCAATCACATAACTCCTGACCAAAAAATAATTGTAAAAATAAAGCCAACTTATAGAGTAGGATAGTTATTTTTCAATGTAAATCTAAAATTTGAGATTGAGTTAGAGACGTGGACAGCTCAACCTCCTCCCTGGACAACCTTTTATATCAATTAATTAAGTTAAAATTAAATGGCGAAAATTCTAAGTAGGGAAAGAATTAAATTCATTATATTATCAGTGATGTAATTGCGTATACACGTATTTATAGGGTCAAGTGTAACGGCGTGGTGCCGCTGACCTTTATGTTTGGTTGTAATTTCATCACCATACTTTAGTTTAATAAAATTTAAAATTAGGTCCCTAAACTTCATAGTTTTGTACAATCTGGCAACTCTATTGGTCATCCTGAGAATATGACTACGGAGAGTCCATGCGGCCCATCCCTGTGACTCCCGCTTACATCAAGCAAAAGAGTTGATATTGTCAGCATCCACAAGGGCTCGTTGGTTATGTGGTGATTGGCAGTGATTGACGGTTGTCGTGGTAATTGATAGTAATGGCGATCGATAGCATTGGTAGTAGTTGGTAGTTGGCAGTTGGCGGTTGACAACTGTTGGTGATAGCAACGGGGAATATCTTTTAATAATTTAAATTATGAGTTAATAAAGATTATATTATTGAAATTAATATTTTAAAATTGAGTCCGACTAATCGATTCGCCCGTAAATTAGTTTAATAAATGATACGGGTGATATTTTAAAATCAAAAATTAAGTTAAACTAGTCAAATTTGATCAAAAATTAATAAAATTGACTAATTTTTACTAATTTTTAAAAACTGATTAAGAAACAACCTCTCAAATGACTCCAAACCACCTATTTTTAGTTTAAAAATTAAAACCACTCTCCTCTCCCTACCTCCCTCTCCCTCAAAATTTTCAAACCTATCTCTTCCTCGGGAGATTTTCAAAACATTTATGAGATTCCAGTTTAATTACAAAATCATTCCTCAACTCCTAAAGTTTAAAAATGACTTTACAGCACTATTGAAATCTAGAAATGTACTTGAAAATCTCCCACTCTCCCCCCAACATTGTTTCAAAATTTTCCCAAACCCCCCCCTTTCTCTAGTTGTATAAAAAAATTTAAAAAAAATATTTTTTACTAAATTTTTTTACAATATATTTTATTTAATTTAAATATAAAAAAATTAAAAGAATATAAAATAGTAAAAATTAGATATTTAGAAAAGATTATTTTTTGAAATTTTTAATTGAAATTATATATATGTATGTATATATATACTTTTAATTTTGAAATGAACTTGTACTAATATAAAATATATTAATATTACCATACTACCTATAATCTTAAATATTTTACAAAATTTTAAAAAAATATACAAATGTACTATATTAAATTTATTAAAATTTTAATTTATTATTTAAATATTTTTTATTATGGGATGTTTAACAAATCGAACCAAACAGATTAGACCGCATAAACTGCACCAAACGATATAAAATCGAACTAAACTGTATAATGTGGTTTGGTTTGAATTTGACATTTAGACAAACTATATAAATCGAACCAAAACATATAATTTATATATATACAAAACTAAAAATTCTATCTTTATTTATATAGTATATTTTTATTATTTGATTGTATATTTCTTCTTTTTGTTATATTTTATATTTATGTTCATTTTAATAATTGATTATTTTTTTAGAGTGTAATTTCTATTAGTAATAGTGAAATTCTATAAAATTGTATAAATATATTTATTATAAAATATATAACTACTATAGTTAATTAATAAATAACGAATTTATTAAGTTAAACTGTGGGAAAAAAATGGATAATCAATTTTTAAGAAAAACTCTGTTAAAATTTTAATAAAAATAGTGAATTAAATTTATTTTATTTTGTAAATTACAAATCGTGATTTGAAACTGAACCAAACCATAAATTATGATTCAATTTGATTTATAAAAATTATAAATCATAAAATATAATTCGATTTGAATTTAAATATTAAATCAAATTAAATTAAACTATAAATATTTTTATTTTTATTATTAATTAATTTAATTAATAATTAAATCAGTTAAATCGATTAAACTATAAGTCGGTGATTTTACCTATTAATGACTGGCACGGGTTCTAAAACATTGTTTGAAATGGCCATCTGTTTTGACACATATGCCTCCGTGCCTACCACGCTAGTTATTAACACTATATTTGCATCTTTCTTTATTTCAAGTCTCCTAATAAACACATTATTTAATGCTTGGCCAAAAAAAAAAAAATTATCTTTACTTGAGAACAAGGACGACCGATACAAGTAGATAAACAAATTCAAATTTCGGCAATGCAACATGCAGCATATATATTCGTCCTTGCCGCCATGAAGCTTTGCTCATCAGTCATCACATATTGTCCGGCTTCTCCTATACAAAATTAAATTTAAAAAATATATATTTAAAAAATGAAAAAAATTATTTACCATATGAAAAAATGAAGTAATAATATTTAGGAAATATAAATGATTAAAATAGTTTACATTTTATATAAATAAAATTTTAGTTTATTTTTTCTTACATTTATTGTAATAAAAAAATTAAAGAAAAATAAAAATAGGGCAACCTCTTGGTATAAGTCGTTGTTAAAGATTCTATTTTCATAGTTGTCTAAAATAGGCCACCTAACAATGGGAATAAGACCATTAGCACAGACTTAAAATTGTCACTTTTTTAGACCAATTGTTACTCTATTATTTATTTATTTTTAAATTTTTGATGTTGTAGTTGGAGTTAGAAAAAATTAACATATTTTTAATAAAAAAATTTTAATAAAATAATTAAAAATAATCTATTCATTAATTAAGGATATTTTCTAATGCGGGAAATTATAATATTACCAAGAGTTGTAATATTTTATGAATAAAAAGGGTAGAAAAAAGAAATTATTTATAATATTTAAAAATATTGATAAGTTAATATTTAAAATTCTCTGATGCATTCTGACTTTCAAAATCCATCTATAGTCAAAACAATTAATATTTCATTTTCATATAATCAAATAATATTAATACATAAACAAAAGAACACATATTATTAAAGAAATGAATTATCTGAAGCCATGACTAAGTTAAAAAAAATATATGTAAGCTGACAATTATTCAACGTAATATAATTTATGTGTTAGATAACTTTTAAAAACTTACTTAAAACATCTATATACATTATACAATACCAGGTTCAACTGTTCAATTATAACAACAACTCTACATGATATGACTTATGTCTTTAAGATTTCAAGAAAACAACACATACAAACATCATAATCTGGAAAATACATTTCATTCCAATAATGTGTCCTCTACTCATTACATTGCCATAGCTAAGTAATCTCTCCAAGCCGGTCCACTCTTGATATGCCTCTACATGAGTAATGTAATCTTGATTGCTAGGATAGCTCTCTTGGCAATCATTGGAGATTTCATGTTCCAAGTGATCGAGATGCATTTCCTTGCAAACAAAATTAATTGTGCTACAAGGCACATGTCATAATTAGGACTGTCAGTGGAGGGATTTTAATCCGAATCTGATTCGATTATTTAAAATCTTTAACTAATAAAAAATTTGATCGATATAATCTAATTAAAAAAATTCGTAATTCAAAAATAAATAGAGTGAATATGAATCTCACCTAATCGATCCATTAAAGATCCAAATCTGATTATAATATATATAGTATATATATAATATGTCATATATGGATACTATATTATATATATATATATATATACACACAAATATGTACACACAATTTATTATTGTGTTTATATGTAGATAAATTTTAGAAAAAGTAAATAAAGGTGCGTACAATTTAAATTTATAAAATTAAACAAACTTAGTCGAACAAAATGTTTTAAATAAAAATAATAATTTATATAATATCATTAAATCTTAATATTTTCCGTTTCGTTTATTTTTGTTTCAAAAATTTTGTAATTGAATAACTCATCATTACTTTTAATTATTCAAATTTCTAATATTAATTTCTACAAAATATACTAATTACATGTTTCATTTGTTAGATATTTCTTTTTTTTTTGTCATTAACCTTTGTGTGGATAAATGGCATAATATTTAATATAATTTTTACATTAAATTTACATTTTTTTTAGTTATACAAAAGTTTTGGTTAATGTAAAAAAAAAGGAATTTTAAAATAATATTTACACTT